CATCTGATGAGGGCAATCGGCTTCCTAATAATGTTCCTCCTGTTCTGAGGAACACTGAGACCCTTGATTCTAAAGTTAGCTACCTGCACTAGGGATCCTGCTGATGTTCTCATGTATGTTGGTTGGTGAGTTGGCCACTATTTTCTTTTTGGTGGCTGTATTCATCTTACAACCTTACCAATCATACAATGTACAACTTAACTTCTATATAAGAGAAGTTTGCAGTCAGGGAGTAAAAAGAGCAAAGTACATAAAAGTGGGTGTTTTTTTCTTCATGGCTTACATGCTGTGTTTTCTCCCTACTAAGATACTCATTTCTCCAACACAGTTGAAATTAGCTAGAGAAGCAGGAGGAAGTAATTTGCAGCAATCTAGTTAATGAGGGCTCTGCTCAGGAAGAACTGGGTGAAACAGACAGAGCTCTTGGGCTCTGGGCTCAAGAGGAACTGAAAGAGTAATTTTGCTGACTGGGCATTTACTTGAACATCCTGGCCCCTAATTCCCTCCTGCTGCTGAGAATAGCCTTCCTTCTTGAGCTGGAAGACATTTCTCTGGCTTATATTCTCATAAATCAAGCAAAAATGGACAGCCCTTTGTGAGCAGGCCTTACCCTAGGCCTCGGGAACTAGATCAGTTTAGAGTCAGTGTTAACAGGATGAGAAAAACCTCCCACTTGAATACAAATATTTAAGATAAGTCAGCTCTGCACAAGGGCCTATGTAACAGAATGTGTTCCAGACTACAGATCCACTGAGACTCTGATGGAAACCAGAATTTACTTTGCAGAAAAGTAGACATTTACAATGTACACATTTGCATATGCATTAAGTAGACTCAGTTCTGCCCCTGGAATCTCCATAATGGAGTCAAAGTAAGAGGGAAAGTTCATTGTGGTGGCTCACACCTGGAACCCCAGAGCTTAGGAAGAGCTTGGGTCAACCAAGGCTATGTCATGAGATCCTGTCTTAAAAAAAAAAAAAAAAGAAAGAAAGAAAGAAAAAAAAAGGAATTTATTTCTGTCTGACTCATGGTTGTTGTATATCCTGTGTTAAGAATTACAAGGCACTGGGAGTCGGTGGCACAAGCCTTTAGTCCCAGCACTCGGGAGGCAGAGGTAGGCGGATCTCTGTGAATTCGAGGCCAGCCTGGTCTACAGAGATAGTTCCAAGACAGGCTCCAAAGAAATACAGAGAAACTGTCTCGGAAAAAAAAAAAAAAGAATTACAAGGCAAGATTCAAGAAATATTTTAAAGACTAAAATAGTACACAGCATCAGGAGATGAGGACAGAGGCAGGCCTGTAATGACTGGGGTCTGCTTACACAGTACTGTGTTCTTAGGGAAAACCAGTGTGCTCACATCTCAGCTTGCACACCTGTAAGGACATGTGGAAGTCACCTTCTGATGGCAGATTATGCCTTTGATAACCACATTTAACCTCCAGCCTTTTCTGTCTTAGTCATTTCAGGGACAGAAAGTGGAGGTTCCAGAGCACAAGTGCAATCCCAGTACCCACTGAAAGGCTATGGCTTGTTCGGGCTTTGTGCAAAAGGACAGTCCTTTGGCTAGTTTCTGATGTATCGTTATCTTTTCTACCTCTGTCCAATACCACCCTCCTTTGGACAAATAATAAAACAAGCAACAGCCATCAAATGAGTGAATAGGTCTGGTTTCTCCCCCCCCCCCAGGAAACTTTCCACAGCCTCAAACTTTTACCTTCTCAACTCTTGTGCCTCATGACCACACTATCCCCTTACATTTTTAAAGTTGTATGTGTGTGTCTTGCCTGAATGGACATATGTGCATCCTGAGTGTCTGATGCCCTTGGAGGTCAGATGTGGGCAATGGATCTTCTGGAACTGTTATGGATGGATGTGAACCACCATGTGGGTTCTGGGAATGGAATCTGAGTCCTCTGGCAGAGCAACAAGTGCTCTTAAAGGTGGAGCCACCTTTCCCAAAACCTTTAGCCCCTTTAAATAAAAGGTAGTAGTGTTCTCTCTGGGAAAGCTGTAAAATGAGGTGGTCTGTCTGGAGGAGCCTATTGTTTTTCCCCATTTACAATATGTCTCATTATTCTGGGTGCCTGCTCCTTTTGGTTCTCCTGGAGAACCCTTACATGGCATACTGCAGCCTGAGGGATATTGCTTTCTCAAGGCTCTGTGCATCTTAAACCACAGTGGAAGTGTTTGTCTCTTGCTAAAGAAATGTTATGCTTTCATGGGGAGGTATAGGGACCATAGTTTAGGACAAAGCCTGTCCCTTCCCAACCACTGCTTCCTGTTCCCACCAAGGGCAGTAGGAGCTCAGCCCCAGACCTAAAGGTCCCTTCTGGCCCTCTACCGGTGGGGTTAGGTAAGACTCAGCTGGGCAAAATTCTATTTTTCCTTGTGTGCTCTACCACACTGTGCCTCTCAAACTCTGTTGTTTGAGTCCAATGGCCAGTTTTTTAGCATGCCCTCCAGAATTGAGAACCACTGGCTGGAGATTCAGTCTTCATCCAAGCTTCACCCTTTAAGTGGAACTTCACACTCAGCAGGCTTGCCCTGGGTTCTGTCTCCCTAATTTCTTTCCTTCATCCCAAAGAATGAGAGTTAGTCATCAGTATCTGAAAAGCCAAGCTCCCGTAATTGACTGGGACTGGGGATTTCAATACCTCATTATTTCACACTGAAAAAAAAAAAAAAAAACAAGAAAAAAGAAAAGAAAAACACTTTAGTCCACACCCCAGGCTCCACACCTCTTTCTTGTCAACGTTTCCCCAAAGGGGTACACTTCCTGCTCCACACTTTTTTGGGGTTGGATTTTGTTTGCCTGAGCAATCCCACCCCATCCAAAAGGTAATTATTCTGCCCTGTTTCTGTCTCTGAGAACCTAGTTTCTCTCTCAAGTTTCTGGGCTAATCCCACTCGATCATGATTCCCCATGAGCCCCTTTGACTACTGTATAGTGTCATCTTTAACTCTACTACGCTGAGACCAACTCTTTCTTTCCATTCCGTTCCCTAAATTCGTGGCTCAACTACAGCTACTCTTCTTCCCCTCCCTTCTCTCTCCATCTCCTTCCCTCTCCTCTCTACTGTAGTCAAAACCACACCCACAGTGCGCCAGCTCCCTCCCAAGGCTTGCCTCCACCTGAAGGATCTAGCTCTTTTGCCTCTTTCCTCAAGTTTTTCTTCCCTTCCAAACGCACTTTCCACCTTTTGGGGAAACTCTCAATTTGAGGTGGGCAGAGAGGCCATAGGAGGATGATCTAGTGCCCTCCTCTAAGGTTCTATTCGCCATACATCTCTCCAGATTTTTTTTTTTTTTAAAGCCATGACAGAGTATTGCTGAGGGGTGAAGTGAGGGTTGTTGAAGGGAAGACAGTGTCTCAGTCTCAACCAGCTCCCAGTGGCCCTGGAAAATCAAGCCTCAGAAACAGCCCCCTATGTGCTGCTGGGCCATTGGCCAGCTCCAGAGGGCGCTGCAGCGCTGGACAGAGTGGGTAGGGCCCAAGGACCTTGAACCCCACCCCCACCCTCCACCTCATCTCAGAGCAAACATTCTGCAAGTGCCCACCCTACCTTGGGGAGTCCAGTGTATGGAGCCCCAGGTGGTGATGACCTCCTCCACTTGGCCTCTAGGCAAGTTTACAGAAAGTAGATATTTTGGGGGAAGATAAATAAAGTGTGAGGCAGGCACAGGTGGGGTTAGGACAGGGAGAAAGGGCTCCCGGGTTGTTTTGAGCGGGGCGGGGCGGGGCGGGGCGGGGCACTCAAGAGGCTGACTAAGCCCCTGGGCCTGCAGACAGAATGGCTTTACCTCATGAGTGTAACCAAGGGCCTTAGCGACTCCATGCTATAGAAAGAAGCCTCCTCGAGAGCCCTGCTTAAGGGCTGAGCCTCTACTACCTCTGAGGATCCCCCTGGTTGGTTGCCTCGGCGTCTCATGTCTCCTAGTTTTCATTCTCACTTCCCTGCAACCACTTGAGAAACACTTTTAACAAATCTTGTCTTTTCCACCACACCTCTATTGGTTTGGAAACAAACTAAACCAATAGAGGTTAGGGTATTGAGAAAAAAGGGCAGCCATTATAATTCTGGGTTGGCTGGAGGCACCTGTTTCAACCAATAACTGAAGTTCTGACACTCTGCCTCCTCCGTCCATGTGTGTTCACACCTCCTCAGGTTTGACTTTTCTTCTTTGGATCTTGGTATGTTGTTCCTATATTAAGTCCTCTGACGGCCAGTTTCCATGTTTCCAGGTGCTTGGCTGTTGGCGTTAATGAATCAGCTCAAGCAGGCGGTTTGTCATGTTGGTGTTACCCGAGGGTGAGAACAGGAGAAATCTGCTCATTGGAGACCCCTGACATTGAAATATGTGGAAGTGAGTTCTGGACATGCAGCCTTCACCCACACAGAAACTAGAACACAAATAAGCAGATTGTAGATTGTAGAAAAACACAGTGGTATAGAAGAAGCACCCAGAACACCAAACAGACCAGATCAGAAGAGAAAGTACAGTTAAGACACTAAATATACATACCCAGAGAGGATACTGAAAACTTGAAAAGTCACAAGTTACATTGTGATGGCTCTTCTTGGTTGTCAACTTGACTATATCTAGAAATAACTATATAACCCAAGTGGCCGGGCACATCACTAACATTTTTAAATTAATTAAATCATCTGAAGTAAGAAGACCCTCTTCTAATCCAGATCTTTTGAGTGGGAAGATCCGCCTTTAATCCGTTGTCAGCCTAGTCTCAACGGAAACTTTAAAAGCCAGGAGAGACTGAAATAATGTACACCAAGTGCCAAAAAGAAAAAAACAAACAAGCAAACAAACAAAAAACCCCACAAATACCAACCCAGATGATTTTACCTAGCAAAGCTAGGTCCCATGGGAATAACAAAATCTCAATTCCTGCTCCCATCCAAGCTCCCGCTACCGGTCTCACCTCAACACCCACCCTTTGCCCTTCCAGTGGCGAGCAAGAAGAAACACAGACACAGGAAGGTCTTGTAAATAGCTTCAATGAATGAGAACTGCTCTCCTTGGAGCCTGTCTGGAAAGGAAACAGAGCCCCGAGAAAGGGCTCTGGCATTAGGGATTCCCTGTGCACCCGGAACCGACACATTTGGTAGAAGACTTTATGCGTGCCTTTCCTTGTCCGCTGGAAGAAGCACTGTCAGCTTTGGTCACAGCTGGCTTCTGGATGGTTCGTTTGACCAGCTTCTCAGGTTCCTGCCTCTTCTCGTCCCTAAATTTCAAGCTTGGCCTCCTCTCATCTTTAGATCGAGGCCTGGTGTCTTCCTTTGAAGGCCATACTCTGCTATTATCCATGGCCCTGACCCTGGCTTCCATACGTGCCTGTTCCCTGGCCTTGGCACACTCCTGGTCCTGGCCCTTGACACACACCTGTGCCCTTGTCCTGGCACGAGCCTGTTCCCTGGTTCTGGCACAAGCCTGTTCCTTGGCCCTGGCGCACACCTGATCCATGGCTCTAGTTCTAGCCCTTGAACTGGCCCTTGACCTGGTCCTTGACCTGCCTCTTGACCTGGCTCTTGATCTGGAACTCCTGGACTTTGCCTTCAAAGCCCTAGCCTTGCGTCTCCAGACTTCTCTGGCCTTCTTGGCTGCCTTGCGACGTGAACGAGGCCTGCGAGGTCTGGGGGATCGGAGCAGGGTCTTCCTTGAAGAGCGGCAGCCCAGCGCCAGCCGGGACCGTCCCACCTTTCTCCTAGGCTTTGGAACCTTCCAGACCCTGAAGTAGCCAGCGGCATCGCTGCCACTGACCCGCAGGAGTGTGCCCTTCTCAGGCCTGGTGGATTCCCCGACATTGCGGTTGATCTTTCGGCGCACTTCGTAGCCAGCATTTCCCAGCTCCTTCTTGAGCGCTGCCAGAGTCAGCCTCCGGTGGCCTGCAATGGCCCTGAGCAGCAGCTGGGACACTCTGAGCACCGAGCGCGGGCCCCCCCTGGCTGGTGTCCTCAGGGCTCTCTCTGTAGGCTGCTGGATCTGGATCGTAACTTCTGTGCCTTGGGATTCCTCATTGGGCTGGGCCGCCTCAGCCATGGGCCCGCTTCCCCTTCGCGGGGCCACCTGCTTTGGTCTGACCTCAGGCCTCACAAAGTGTGAGGCTCTGGGGTGTCCACGTCACAAAGGGGGGCCCCGGCCCCCGTGCTCGAGCTCGGTGTGAGGGCAGACGCTGCCCACCCGCAGACTGACCCTCTGTGACCTCTGTGCCACCCCAGTTCTTCACCATCCGCGGTTCCCTCGCCTGTAGGGGTTTGTTCTGGGCCTGTTCCTCCTGGAGTCCATTATCTTTCTGGGGCTGTGCTAGCACCCACCCAAGGAAAGAGGAGCTGCCCCCAACCCACGCCAAGCAAACAATAGGATGTCTGTTAAAAGTAAGGGAGGGGCTCCTGCCAGTAGAACAGTGGGCCAGAACTAACCAGGTTTCAAATCCCCAGAAAACACTTTCTTGGATTGCCTATCTACTCTCTACTTTTTTCCCTGCCTAGACAAACTTTGCTTTTCAAGTTCTTGCTAAAAGTCCTCCCCCCCCCAACTGAAGTTCTTTAAATCACTTCTTAATTACCACAACTGCAATTATTTCTGTAATCCTACACCTTTTTGTGCTTAATTTGGTATGTAGGGTACAATGCATGTAATAAGTTTTGAGAAAGAAAACACCTTGGATTTTGGTCAGGAGACATATGTACATATTAAACCCAGACTGCTGCTCTAACACAGAGGATGTGGCTCAACACCTCAAGCTAAAACCCCAACTGAAAACCAAACCAGAAGCTTCACAATGACGAAATAGCCCCTAAGAGTTTCTGCTTATGTGTGTTACTCTACTGGCTCATTTTATGTCAACTTGACACAAGCTAGAGTCTTCAGAAAGGAAGGCGCCTCAGTTGAAGAAATGCCTCCCATGAAACCCAGCTGTAAGGCATTTTCTCACTTAGTGATTGTCTTAGTGCTGTGAATAAACGATGACCATGGCAACTCTTATAAAGGAAAATAATTGGGTGGCTTACAGTTCAAGAGGTTTAGTCATTATCATGGTGGGACATGACAGCATGCAGGAAGACATGGTGCTGGAGAAGGAACTGAGAGGGGAGAAGGAGCTACTTCTTGATCCTGCAGGCAACAGGAAGTGAACTGAGATACTGGGCAGGACTTGAGCATATATGAGACCTCAAAGCCCTACCTACTCCAAGAAAGCCACATCTCCCAGTAATGCCTCTCCCTGGCATAAGGGTAATTACACTCAAACTACTACAGTGATCAAGGGGGAGGGTCCAACCCGTGGTGGGTGGTGCCATCCCTGGGCTGATGGTCTTGGGTTCCATGGAAAAGCAGGCTGAACAAGCCATGTTAAGCAAGTCAGTAAAGCAAGCAGCTCCTCTCTATGGCCTCTGCTTCTTCTTCTTCTTCTTCTTTTTTTTTTAAACAACAATTTGTAACCAAAACTTTAATCCCAAGGATTCTCACAAACATATTACAAATGACAGCATGAAAAAGAAATCTTGCACAGTAACTCAAAGGTTCAGCTCTACAATGTACCCTTACACTGATAGGACACTGGTAACTTAAAGTCTTCCATTTCCAAATAAAGAATGTTGCAGCTATGCGTCCATATATAGCAATCAGTAAGGAACCTCTGAAAGCCTTCAGGGTGCGGTTCCCATCCTTTACCTGATAGCTGGTGTTCACTAACAGCTTTTAAAGACTACCTATCATTTTACCCACAGCTCCACACCATATCCCAGCTACTAGACAAACTAGAGCTTTATTCCATTTCCACCAGTGGTTTCTGTATCATTAGCACATCACACTTTAACTGGGCAGGATCTAGGTTTATTTCAGTCTATGAAAAACTAAAGTTCAAAGCAAATTTGAACAGCTAAAACATCTTAAAAATGCACCAAGATTATGAAGTCTCAAACAAAACTTGAAATTCCTGTACATACTCCTGTCAAATGAAGTTATTTCCTGTATACCACTTCTTTAGCAAGCTGGTCTTCTATTTCCTTTCATTTGACCTAGATCGGCTACGAGACCTAGAGAAAGACCAAGATGGCTTGTGGTTTCTCTCCAGAGACAGAGACCTTTCTCTTCTCCTATCTCTAGAAAGTGACCTGCTCCGGCTTCGAGAGAAGCTTCTCCTTCTTGGAGATCTTCGCCGAGGTGGAGGACTTCTCCTTTGATAATCATCTCGAGGGCGACGGCCCCAAGAGGGCGGCGGGCCACGATTGCGACTTCTTTTTTCACCATTCGACAGTTCCACTCTCACACGACAGCCACATAGTGTTCTTCCATCCAGCTCTCGGACAGCATCAGCTGCATCTCGGGGATCCTCAAATTCAACAAAAGCAAAGCCAGGAGGGTTCCAAGCAACCCACACACTTCGAAGTGGTCCATAATAGCCAAAAGCCCACTCTAGTTCAGTCTTGTTCCCATTGTTTCCAAGATTACCTACATACACCTTACAATCTAGTAGATAGGAATCACGATTCATTTCGAGATCCTGGGTTCAAACACCGAGGTTCAAACCCCAACACTCCATCAGGCCCACCCGCGCACTTCAGGATCTGCTTTAGCAGATGTTCTCCGTTCCCTGGCGTCCACGAAATGGCCATGGCCTCTGCTTCTATATAAAATCTGGGAACCACACTTTATATAGAAACAAGTAACAAGTCTTTCTCTGTCCTGCCAATCAGTTCCCAAATAATGTGGTAATATTTTGTTTGTGCTTTAACAAATAAATCTTTCTTGAGGATCAGAGAAGCAGAGCACCCAGCCACTAGTTCTTATCTCCACTGAATCCTCAAACCAAATGGGCAATCCTGTCCCTATGAATCCTCAGACCAAATGCTGTCTCTATGAAACCTCAGGCTGAATACAATGAGCTCCTGTCTCCTCCCACCTTATACTCCTCTTACACCCAGCCATATCACTCCTGTCTCTATCTCCCTAGTGCTGGGATTAAAGGCGTGTGCCACCAACTGCCCGGCCTCTGTGGCTAACTAGTGGTTATCTCTGCACTCTGATCTTCAAGCAAGCTTTACTTGTTAAAGCACAAACAAAACATTACCACAAAATAATGACATGGAGACTTATTAAGTATAAAAGCTTGACCTATAGCCTAGGATTTTTCCTAACTAGCTCTTATATCTTAATTTAGTTCATATGTTTTAAGTCTATGTCCTACCATGTGGCTTTTTACCTTTCTTTCATTCTGTACCCTCCTATTTATTCTGTGTCCTGGTGTCTCCTCTGATGCCTAGATTTATCCCCACTTCCTCTCTCTGCGCAGAAGTCCCACCTATTCTCTCTGTCTAGCTATTGGCCATTTAGCTTTCTATTAAACCAGTCACATGACACATCTTCACACAGTATACAAACATAACATTTGATATTTGTCTTTTTTGAGACAGGTGTAATTTGCTCATTTTAATGTTTTCCAAATACATACAGTTTCCTGCAAACAACATAACCCCGTCTTCTTGGTAGTTGAAAATATTCCATTGTGTATACATACCACATTTTTCTTAACCATTTTGATGGACATCTAGTTTGGTTCCAGATCTTACCTATTGTGAATTGTCACTGATATATATCTTTGCATAGGAGATTCTTGTGACAAGTTTAATTTTTGACAGATCTCCAAACTAATTTCCACAGCATCTGTCAACAGCATATGTAGGTTTTTTGTTTGTCTTTTTGTCCATATCTTTGCCAGCATTTCTAATTATTTGAGTCTTTAATGACTGCTACTCTGACTGGAGTGAGGCAGAATCTCCATGTAGTTTTAATTTACATTTCTTTCATGGCTAGTGTGGTAGCCTGCCTTTTGAGAGGTAATGTTTTATCTCAAGGGCTCTGTGTTTATATATTTGCTGATATTAATTTGACTCCATATGTGTACTGATAGGCACTGTTCTGATTGAGAATCAGGCATTTGACAAGTCAGACATGATTCCTGCTCTGAACTGACAAATCTCCAAGTGGGTTTTGACATTTATCATAATTATCACACCAACAAAGTCTCAAGGGTATTATTAAAACTATCTTCTGTATAAGGAGAACCAATTATCTGAAATATTAAGTATCTTTCTAAAAATCCCAAGACCTCAGCATGTTGGAAGAGTAGATGGCTTCTGATGTCCTTCTCCACACACATTCAGTGAACACAAACATACAGGGACATTCTCCCAAGAGAAAAACAAAGTTAGATTAAAAAAAAAAACTTACACATTGGATGAGCTGGGAAAGATCTAAATCAGTCAAGGTAGAAAAATAACAAATATATTCTCTTGCTGCCTCTGAGCATATCTTATAGTTTTAAAAAAAAAATCACCAAACCCAGACTCTTTCTGACATACCAGGATTTGGTAATTCACATGATGTCCAACCCTCTATGAGGGACCAAAGCACATGACACACATGAAAATCTTGTAGTCAACTTTGCCAATCTGGATTAGTGCCTGCTGTCATGATGCAGGCTACTGCAGGGTGTGTGTGTGTATCTCTGTGAGTTTGAAGACAGCTTGATTCACATACCATGTTCCAGGACAGTCAGGGTTACACAGTGAGACTCTACCTCAAAACAACAAAACAAAACAAAATATAATAAAAATGTTCTTAGTTTCGAAAGAATTTCATATTTATTAAGGAGAGAATGGAAATACTGAAATTGCAAGAAAACAGTCCCCTGAATTTGCACTATGTAATACACCATTCATATTTAGGAGTGTTTTATAAATGTTTTTCCTTCAAGTGTTATAAACAAAACAAAACAAAACAAAAAAAAAAAACACTCAATAACACAAGCAAAACACAGAGGCCTAGGGACTGTGCACAGGGGAACCAGTCCTGATAGACCAGGCCATCCAGAGTCTGCTGACTTCAAGGTGCCAGTCCCACCTCCATCCACAGGAAGAGGAGAACCATCAGAGCATTGGACCTGCTTACACCTACTGGAAGAGAATTTTGGACCTGTACCCACCAGGAGAAGGAGAGACCATGCCAACCCGCTGGAAGAAGGGATGGGAAGATGACAGTATAAGAACACATTTGATAACAGAAAGATCAATATGGGTTTCTGTAGCCTGGTCTTGACCCCTTTTCTTATCACT